TTAGAAAAAAATTGTATGACAAGAATTACCTGAAAGATAGAAAGAATACAAAGTTACTAAATCAACTAAATAATTAGGACTTACAAGAAGGAACAGAAAATGTGTATTTAACAGACCAGGGAACCTTTCCTGCACCATCAGCAGAAAGCACTAAAGCATGAGGACATCAGAGATGATATGTACTTCTGAAAAATAGGATGTGCAAAACCCAAACCTGCATGATGTTATTGCAATGCACAGAATTGCTATGTGTAATAACTGCCCTACCTTAAGGACAGATGTAAGAATTCGCCAAGTTCCCTTTTGAGGAAGGAGACAACTATAAAGTGCATTCAGAATACAGTCTCAAAAAACAAAAACGAGCTTCCTTCTCAGCAGAGAACCTGTCTTCTGCTATGCAAGTCCTGCATTCAGAGAAGCAGGACTCTCTAATTCTCTTGTTTGTACATAAATAGGATTGCTCTAAAACAAAAAAAAAAAAAAAAAAAAAAAAACTTGAAACCACTACTGATTTCACTTCCTAACCAAAACAGCCTACCAGACACTGAATTTCAGCTTGCTGCCCGGATCAAAAAGACTTCTCCACTGCATTAAACAGAAAACAAATGATTGACAGGGCAACACAAACACCAGTGCTAAGATTAGACTCAGGTCCTAAGCAAGACTCCCAACTAGCCCAGCTCTAATACCTGTACCAGTGGGCACCCACTGTTACAGGAGGAGTGGCTGACAGCTCCAGACACACTGCAAACAGCTTCCAGAGCCTACCCGTTTTTGCTTTTTCCCCCAGCGACAGAGGTATAATTGCACCTACTGCCTTCAGTTCCTTTAATGAACTTATAGATTCTGATGATGAGAGACCCTAGAAAGTACTATTCAATTACTTCATAAATCCAGGTTTTACACTGGCTGATAGTTCTCGGCACTGGATTGTTTTTCACTTTCTCAGCTTTGATCCACGTGATCAAGTTCAGCACATATCATAAATCAGGAGAAACTAACTTAAAAGAGACAGATCTTGTTCTTGAAACTCAAGTGCTGACCCATTTTTATAGTGTGCATGTTCAAAATGGCAGAGTTCCAGATACTACTTCCCAGTCATACTTGGGAGAAAAAAAAATGTTTTCCAGGGAAAAAATACTGTTTCAATTCATTCTCTGAAAATGCAGGTAAACTCTTTCTTTGGTGGGAATCACAGCAAATCAGATGTCTAGATCATATTTTGTTCTGAATTTGAGTGATTAGTTTTCAAAGTTGTTTTACAAGTGAATTGAAAATAACTGAAAACAGGTTCTGCGCCTAAACTTAGTCATCAGCTCTGGTAATGATAGAAACAGCTGCCCTTATTAAATGCAAAGAAAAATTAGAACAAGACAAAATAAATAGAAGAATAATGTAGTACTGCCATTGACAGAGATTAAAAATATATTTTTTAAATCACAGTACAGATACAAAAAGCCACCATGCAGGTGCAGGCACAGGCAAGCGAATTTTCTCTCAATATTAAAAAAAAACCTATATTTCAATATTAAAAAACCTAAATGGCAATGATGACATTCATAAGAGAATGTCAAGAGTAATTCTAGCAAAACTAAAATTCTGGCTTAGATGTAGTTGAATTGGTTTGAAGGAAACAAAGGCTCCCTGACCCACAGAAGTAGAGCTCTCACAACATAAACAACAGCGAGCTTTCCAAATCTCTGCTGCAAAGGGTGGACATAATTTAAGGCCTAAATCTTTAAATAGTCAATTAAAACCCACACAAATAACTTGGTATCTCCTACTTAATACGTTTGCCAAGCCAAAGAATCCATATTCATCCTTAAAACATGACTGGCTGTGTGTGAACAACATGCAATGAAGCATAGGTAGAGTTCATATTATCTGCAACTCTGACGTTTTTCAGCGCACTAAAAGAACAGCCCTCTGCCAGTGGAACAATATATAAAGTAACACGGAAGTGTGGTTTGCCACAATGAAAGTAGCACTCAGGTAGTTAAGAAATGTTGCCTATTTTATTTATAATATGATCGCATACAAAAATATCAAAACTAATTTCCCAGATTTCACAGAAGCTGTTGGGCCAATTCAAACCATTAGTCCACCATGTCTGACATCCTGCCTCCTCCATGTAATACCTAACACTTCAGAGGAAAGTGAAAAGTGCATCAAGCTGGCAGTGAGTGACACTTCCCATGAGGTCTGGCCCAAAGCAAAAGCATTTTTCAATATCTAATTCAGCCACTTAGCAGACCACACACTTCAAATGAATAAGGCGATTCAGTAAGCACCCACCATGTGGGTCACTGGAGATGCGAAATGTACAAAACAAAATCTTCAGTGTAACTTTAAAGCAGACACATGACATTATTTTCAGCCCTGCACAACTTGTGAAAAAGGAAGACTGGATTTTTCTCAAACTTTTCATGAAAATAATGAAAGCTTGTGGCTGCAGACAAAGCAAAAAGAAAATGGCAGTTGCACAGCAGCTAACAGCAGTCACCATTTTCTCCTCGCCAAAGAGGAAAGTGCTCAGAAAATGTAAGGATGGGTTTTGGATGGCCATGGCTTAGTCCTGTTCAGCAACAAGAGGGGCAGGAATAGAACAAGAGACAGAGCACCTCCTTGCAGCCTTATGGTCACACAGAGCAGGCAGCAATCAGCCCCCAGAGGGTCTGTGAGCACCTGCGGGCAAAATAACCTCATCCTCAGCTCTCAGCTGAGACCGAGCATGGAGTGTTGGTCAAAAACCTTGTGAAGAATCAGATTTTTGGCCACTGTCAGGGGGCATCAGCTAAGCTCTGCTCCTATAATAAAAGCAAAATCACACTACAAAAGTTACTGTTTTTATGAATATATTTCATTCCCAAAACAGACCGTACAGTCACTGAGAGCGAGTATAATGATTTAGATACCCTGCTTGTAATGTTGATGGCAGTGTCAGACTGGCTCCTTCTTTCCTTCCTCTTTTCCATGTTCTGCCCATAATCTGTGGTTAGGAGACATCTGTCAGCCATATCACTCTGGGACTTAGAGATTTCTGATGGGAACACAAAGAGAGATGTCACTATAACAAATGTTGCAAGCAATTCTGTAGACTTGTAGGCTAATACTGTATCTCTTAGACTTTCATCCTGTAATTCCACTATTGATCTTCTGAGAGTAAGGAACAGATGGGAAGCCAAGTACCTGTCCCATATTGTATAATTATATTTGGCCTACCTAAATTTTCCCTGCTGTTTCAACTGGAAATTATATTCTTTGCTTCCTATCCTTATAGCTGCTGCAAGGAATTGTTGCATCAAATACAGTTTAATAACAGAAGTAGCTGCTACCGTCCCTGTATCTAGTTCAGATACTGATTTGTAAAGAGGTATTTGCAAATAAGTATTGATTAGTTTTCTTCAGGATAAAAGTAAGAACATTATAATAATTTATACTGATACGATAGTGGAAATTAGAGTGGAAGCAGAGTATATTGGAAAACACTTATAAATGAATCCAAAATATGGAAGAGAGGAGAGATATTACATCCTCTGGTCCCAAATCACATATAATTTCAGGAACATGAGCAGCCCTCATTGACTTCAATAACACTGCAATAACACTATACAGATAAGCTTACGTCCATACTTAAGTACCCTATTGAATTGGCACCTCAGTAACATATAGTTTATTGTCAAATAAATCTATGGGGCAATTGGACATTTAGTGCACCACTTTTTGTTTCTTATTCCTCCGCGTACAGTCAGAGCTTTACTTAAAGGGAAGGACAGCACTCATTTGTGATTTCTGAAGCTCAAAACTACCAGGCTCAGCAGCAAACATTGTGTTGCAAACCCTAGATAGTTCCTTATGAAGAATTAATAATGTATAAGTGGTACATGAAATAGCTATCACATGTTTAATTCATGTAGAAGAAACAAATCTTTCTCCTGTAACATAAGCTACTACGGAGGAACCTCAGACAGCACATCATTATGGCATTCAGGAACAACGACACTCTGGAGTGATTTTTAAAGCCACTCTGGGTTATTTTTGTCCTTAGAAGCAATCAGTCCTCTCATGTTTACTGTACTTTTTGTACCACATTAAGGCATCACATGACATATTCATAGGCAGGCTCAATTAAACCATCTCTGACCGTAAATGAAACTAAGTTTTTAAAATGCACATTGAAATCAGAGATTATAAAAGAGAATGGAGTGATAAATCTAACGGAGTAGATACAATCTGAACAGTTTAACTAGTAGTAGAAGCAGAAACACAAACTTGCTGCACACTCTCCTAAAATGAACAGGCTACAAAACAGCTTGTTGTGAGAAAAGGTTTTCATATCCGTTCTTCCTTTGGCTTCTCTACCCAGAGAGTCAGTAAGAGGGACACTATTAGTTCATATCACGGGTGATTTTGCACTGCAAAGAAAACTACAACCAGCAACTCATTTTACGTACACCAGATAACAACTATTGGATTATAACAATCTGCTGCTGCTGCCAAACCAAGCTGGAAAAGAAGGTACCACCGTCAAGAGCAGGTCAGACAAGGAAGGCATTGTGTCACATGCATTAGTCCCCGGTCTGCTCTCAGCTGCACACACACTTTGGCTCCAGTGATAGCATCAGAGGCACAGCTAGGATCTTCCATTTATTTACAGTAATACACAGGAGCTGCATGTATTAAATACCTCTGCACACCAGGACATTTTTATCTACGTAAGATACAGAGCACTAACTTTAGACACTTGTGACTGAAAGTATTCATCAGTGCCAGGTTTCAGAGGGAGGCCATACTGTCTGCAAAAGCTGTCTTCTTAGGTCAAGTAGCCCAAATCTTTCTCTCTAGAAGACTTTCTATACCTTCTTTTAATTATTGACTTTGATGATTGTAACAGCCTGTTACTTTCTTACAAATTAAAAGGTCCTTACTCTAATTGGGGATGACAGCAATTGAGCGCGGTTTCACGTAGACCTGCGTTGAGCTAACAGCTTGCTGCCTTCCCCCTCTGCAAGCACTACTCTTCCCGCCTCACCCCTTGGCTCCTAGCTGCACAGCCCTGTGATGTGCAGGCTCCAACACCTTGGCAGGCTCATCTTACCTTGAGCCTATTTAACTCACTAAGCCAGCAAAAAAGTGCCCATTGTTTTGGCTGGGTTAGTGTTCTGCCCTTTTAATTAGTTAATTCAGGCTCACAGCAGGGTCCAAAACCACTGATGCTAATTCTAGCTAAGCAGTGGCCCGAAAACGAGAAAGAGAGAAAAGACGGGAAGGAGAAGCAGGATCTCCCTTTCGGTAGCAGTGAGCTGTTACATTAGCTCACTGCATCTTGTGAAGCCAGATGCTGAGGCTTGTGCTTTGGGCACTGACAGTCCTCCACTCTGTCTTTACCAGCAGCAGTGGGACGCGCTCAGGCTGCAAACTAACAGAAAGCAGAATAAATTTGTTGCATCCTATTCTGTGCTGCATCAGCTAACGTGCTTTCAGTAACAAAATATCCTAGGCCCCTCTACAACATGCTTCTGCTCAGGAGAGACAGCTATTGTGTCTCTGCATAGCTTTAGTACATGTTCACATAGACCACACATTAAATCTGTGAAGTTACCGAACAAGCTTTTAGGATAGATGGAAGAAGTCAGATGAATGAGTGAGCAAGGGGTAAGATTAAAGTTAAGGGGAAAAGGAGAAAGAAACTAAAGCCCAATTTATTCAGGTCTAATCTTATATTTGGAGTTAAGACAGTGCAAAAAATGCTGGGGTTGGTTCAAATGCACACAAATCTGTAAGCCCTCTTCATGAGGCTCAGAACCAGGTCTCCTCACTGATGCCTTTAATCTCCTCTCCACAAAGACAGGCTGTTTGCAGTGTAGTAAGCTTTAGAGAGGTATAGATAGCCTGCACCATAAAGAGCAGCTGATAGTATAACTGAATGGAAGGAAATAAGAGTAACAGAATGAAAGAACTGTTAGGAGTGGTTACCTGTTAGAAACACGCAAAGAAAAAAAAAAACTAGATAGATTGAGATAAAGGAAGGAAGTCCTCTTAAAAGCTGCCAGAGAGTGAAAACATTAACCCCTATTTCCTTTACATGACAGGTTCTTCAACTGGGGTTCAATTAGATAGATAATACAAAGATAACTACAACAGAAAACGGGTATTACTCTGCGTTGCTTCCATTACATTTACTGCCACTAAACAACCACTAAACTTAAAAATAGCATTATACAATCTTTTCACTCCTTAACATGAAAGGCATTCTTTGCTAGTATCATCAGCCTGTTAAACAACTGGCAGAATTCTGACGGAGAATTAGACTTATCTTATTATTTTTCTGTTTGGCCCAGTCTCGGCATTAGTCATTACACTGTCCTTAATTTATAACTATTTAATGGCCAACAATTTGGCCAACAAATGGAAACATTTGACTATGTTACTGTAGAATGATGATGCAGTGAAAGCTACTTACTTTTTATATGTGTTGTGAGAGACAAAAACAAGTTTTCCACAGATTTATTAAAACTTTTAGTCTGACCAAGTTCCTGTAAATGGGAGAGTCCAAAAATAAGAACACACAGAATATTTGCTGTGTTTCAAAGTTTCCATCATCACATACCTACAGATCACACAACAAGCAAATGGTAAGGCTGCAGTCTGTACTCACTTCTGTAGATAAACACAGCACATATTTTTATACCATTGCAAACCGTCACACTGATGTATGATTATGGAGGATGATTATGGACGATCTTTTCAGTTCCACACTTTTTGATATATAAGTGGAACTCCTTGTAGGAAGATCTCATAGCAATTTCATAAGTACAACTAATTACATGACTGATTCATTGTAATGTATTTAATATTTCAAGTAGGAAAGTCTTATCTATTACAGACCTGCTATTATGCTCCTGTGCCTCTAAAAGCAAAGAATTTTCATCAAAACCCAGGTAAGCACATATTAAAATGTTTAAGAAAATAGCAGTGGACTTCAAAACTAGGGCCTCGGGACCCAGACTAAAACCAACTGAAGAAGTCAGTAACATTTTGTGTGATTTCAATGAGCTGAGTCGTGTCCTAGTATCCTGTCTATTAAAAACTGTAAGGCAAAAGCAATCATCAAAATCACTGTTTTTCACTCATTAATGAAAGCAATGCATGATCACTTTACAAAAGACTAATATCACAGGATCATGCCAGTGGGATGGGAGCTCAGGAGGTATCAGTCCAACGCCCAGCTCAAAGTAGGGCCAGTTGTGAGCTCCAACTGGGTCATGCAGGGCTTTACTAGTGGCATAAAAGAATCTCCAATGACAGAGACTGCACCACCTCTCCGGGCAACCTGATCCACTGCCAGACTGTCCTCCTTGGGAAAAGCGTTCCCCTAAACCCAGCCTGACCCTCTCTTCTTCCAGGTCTGCCCTGAGTCGCTCACCCCCCTGTCGGGCACCACTGAGCAGAGCCTGGCTCCGATTTCTTGCCAAGCTCCCTGGGGCTATGGTGAGCTCCTCCCACAGCCCCCTCTGCCCTAGGCTGCACCAGCCCCACTCCCTCAGCCTCTCCCCACCAGGCCAGGGCTCCAGCCCCAACCATCACTGTGACCCTCTGTTGAGCTTGCTCCAATCTGTCAGTGTCCTTCCTGTACTGTGGAGGGGGCAAAACTGGATGTGGTATTCAAGAAGCAAGTGCCAAGTAGAGGGGGATAATCACTTTCCTCAAAAACTCAAAACTAACTAAAAAATTCTGTCATGATAGACTCCAACCTTTCTCCTACTTCCAATGCAGCATAAAATAAAGTGACAAAAGACAGCATTTATATTGCAAAATGATGTTATGGTAGCTGTTGCTATTTACTGCATTTCTGTGACTGGTCTTTTCATATAAATGACACCTTAAGATAGTGCATGCATACGTATATATTGCACATATGTGCCTTTACCGTCACATTGCTTCCTGCTGTGGATTCAGCGAAAGGAGGTGGAGTTGGAGGAACCACAGAAATGTTGCTAGAAATTTAAGAGAAAATAAACAGGGCAACAATTAGTATATTATGCTAACAGATATACAGATAAACCACATACATGCACAGCATCTTTATTATTTGTCTCTTTCTTGCAGCCTAAAGATATGGGATTGAGATCTTGCACCTTTATGAGCTGCAGCAAAGACTTATTGCCTGTGTTTCTAAGGATTAAGAAATCACCTTTTCATCTTCTTGATCTTGGGCTGCTCTAAGCAGAATTATTAATTTAAAACAATCAGGAAGACCTGATACAGGACAGGCTTCCTAGACTTCTTTGTGGTTGACAGTATTACAATCTGAAGTCCAAATCTTGAAGCACAATTCCTGTCTAACACGTCCCATCTCTGTGTCAGAGGTGCTTTCAGAAAGCAGTTGTCTATTTCCACTACTGGAAGGATCCTTCCCTGCCTAGGCCCAGAGCTGTTAGAGCCTTCTGTTTTACAGCCTTCCAGCCCTCCCTTTTGTCTCTTGTAAACAGAACAGATCTATGAAAAAAATTCACTCAAGTCTGTTATCAAAACACAGTCACAAGCCCTAAAGGCAGCCAGTGAACTTCCCTTTTGATTTTCTTCTCCTTTTACTACATGTAGGTCCTTACATAGTCCTGGTTAGGATCATATCTAGCTATCTACACGTTTCCACCTCATGCAGCTACATCTTTCCTGATAATTATCATAAAATAGAGGCTATTTCTTTGTATCTTATTTTACTTTTTTTTTTTTTTAAGGAAAAGGATTTATTTTACACAACAGAGCTTAAGCAAACTATTATTTCATTATATATGAGTGGCATTAACTTAAGCATGATCATGCTTAGGCCTCAAATCACCAAGGCATCTACTTAGCGCAAACTGGATTTTTCATTTGCTTTAAGTTTCGGTAAACAGATGCATCTTTCTGAATACAGAGTTTCTTCCCTAAAAAAAAAAAAACTGTACAGGTTCCTTCCCTTCAAGGAAATAGGAAAATACTAAGATAAAAATAGTACTCTCTACTGCACTTGAGACCCTTTCTATAGGTTGCCTAGACATAGAAGTGGCAATTCTTTTATGCTTTACCATTTCTACTCCAAATGTATTGAAATTGGCTCTTCCCAATCAAAAAATATAAACTGCTGGCTGACTGGTTTATAACATACAGTATATTAACCATACAAAGTCTCAGCGCCCTAGGACGATTTGTCCTTTTATGAGTCTTACCTCAGTTTCTGATAAGATTTCAAGAGCTTTGCACCAACCGTTTCATGTCTGCCTGTGAAGGAGAAAAAAACCCAAAGGTCACTTATCAACAACAGGAGTTATTAATGCCTTTATTACACTTTTCAAAATCGGTGCACTTTCAGGTACTAGCCTGTATTTACAGAAGCTCATGCACACGCAAACCAGGCATGAGATCTGCCTCCATCTGACATATGAACCTGAACACCAGTCAGCACGTAAGTCTCACCTGTAACAAACACTCTATCACGATCTCACCTCCTCTCTTTCAGGCAAAAGACGTTCAGACTAGCTCTTCACAAACACTGAAAGTGCTGTGTATGGGTGCTAACCGGCCCACTGCTAGAGGCTGCAAAGTGCCCTCAACCTCCTGAGGTCTAGAAGGCAACTAGGTGCATAGTGCAAAGGCCCACTGCATGAAAGCACATTTAATCCACAAAATACAAACACTGAAAAGATTGAAAATGTGTACAAGAGCAGGCATAAGGTACACTTCTTGGACCTTTTGAAAAACTCTTTACTTTTCATACTAGAGACCTGAGTAATTATGAAAATCATGATTAGCTTACAAACAAGGTAAAAATCCTTTGCTAAGGCTATCCCTATGGAGAAATAGCAACTGTGTCATGTTCCTCAGGTAAGCAGCCACATGATGTGAAGAACAGCGAGGAGCAAGCGCTCCATCAGGCACGAACAATGAAGGCTCATAAAAATGTAGTTTGCTCCTGAGTGATCACAAACAGAAAGAAGGGCTGAGTGCATGTAACAAATGGCCAACCGAAAAGAGCCAGAATGCTTTTAATCACGAATCATTCTTAATAATAGCTGTACAGAAAGCAACATGTGATCCATGTTTTGTTGAAGACATCATTAATTATAACATATTACTGAAATGTAAGCAGGAGAGCTTGGTGGTGGCAGAAACAATAAACCTATTTATACTACAAATTTTAATAAGAATTCTGAATTTAATGCTCTACTATTACTAAGTAATATTTGGTATCTTGATTTATTGTGGCATTTAAAGACTTTTTAGATTTTTAATTTATTAGTAAAGATAATCTACCACCTTCAGGAAAATAGGCTTTTTAATCTGTACATAGAAGCTACAAAAAATTAATAAAAACGTACTGAGGTCAGAAGGTTTTTAGTCTTCAACATAAAACTTCATTGCAATGTGTATTTTATTCAGCTAAACTTATTTTACAGTAAATTCTTTGTTTGTACTACATTTTCAAGCCAAAAGAGGGCACTGTCTCTCCAAGCTTGAAGGATACATAACCAAGATCGTTGCTGTGTTTCGAAGTTTGTCATTTTTCCCCTCTTTAATTTTATCAGTTGTTCTAACACGGAAACGAAACATATTTCTCCCTACAAACTTACCTTGTGTACATCCTTAGACCTTTGTGACTTCAACAACACTGCTATTAGAATAACTAAGCAAAACGCTTCAAGCTCCCACAAAGTTTTGATAATGCAAGCTGAGAACTCACTTATTTTACTGGAAAGAAGGACATCCAGTACCTTACAGTATCAGATTCAGTGTCTAGGGAACAAAATACTCTTTTACAGTAACTGTGAGAGATAGTTAAAATAAATAGCTTTGGACTCACCAAGCTCTGAAAGATTATATGAAGTAAAATTACTAACAACAGTTATGAAATACAACTGTGCTTTAAAAAGTTAGTCAATTAATATTTTTAAATTGGAAATGGTATGGGCTAGAAAGACAGTCAATGAAATCTTTGAAATTCAAAGTTAATAGTTTCAGAAGAAACTATCATAGCTCAGTTTCCTAATCTGTTAACTGCTGGCTTCTCTGAGTGTCTACTACTCAAAGTTTGCCTGATTACATTTTTCCATTTATGAATTTCTTCCTATTCAGAACTCCCAAGAGGAACTTAAGATTAGTGAATCTAATCTTAAGTTTTCCTATACTTACTTTCTTAAGTATAGGAAATATATATCCTTCCTTTCTAATCTAAGCTTTCCTATTTACCAGCTCTTTTTAAATCTAGATAAAATAAAGATATTGGTAATGAAACTGGAACATTTAGGTGCAGGCATGCACAAAGTGAAGCAGTTGCCTGCCTGAAGTGAAGTTTCGAGGGAAAGATGAGGCAAACCCTCTCCACCTCATTAGTCATTGTAGGTGCAAAACCCCAACTAACAGCCTCTTGGTGAAAGACATTGCCCACATAGCAGTCCAGCTGTGTCCTTCATATCTTTTAGTGCTTTATATTTTTAATTGCACTGAAAATTCTGAACACAAGGTAATGGCACAGTTGACTAAGCAAAGAAACAGTAGGTGTTTAGCTCTCTGTTGATTTACATCCATACTTTTTATTGTTTATTCCATTCCATCATTTCTGTAAGCTTTGATATTTCCTCAGTGAAAAAAATTGATGTTTTAATTTTGACAAACAATGGATGCAAGGTCATTTCCTTCACGCCCATATAGTCTAACACTTCTATAGTTTTTCCTCAGGTCATTGTATGTCTTGGCAGCTGTAGTGAGTTCATTAATTCAAGCTGATGTGACCAGCATTTTTTCCTATTCTGATCACTCATACAAAATAGACTGTACTTTTAAATATATTCTGCTAGCGTGTGCTCATCCTTTAGTTAATGCATCCACAGACACGCTGCAAGATATAGTCTTTATTTCAGACAAATCTCCCACCAAATGGGTGAAATGCTTTATACAGTGGCAGATTACATTCTGTGCTTCGCTTTGATGAGGACTACACACTGCACATCAGTTTAGGGCCTGTTTCAGGGATTACCTTCATTGGGATATTTCTTTGCTCGTTCCTCAAAGAACCATTCACCAGCCTTTACTTTCACATCTCTGAAAAAGCAAAAGACATTTGAATTAACATTTTCCAAAGTGCATTTCTGTAACTGATTACTAATCCAATAATCCTCCTTAACCCTTCCACAGAACTAGGATTTCATGGCTGCCCACACCACTGATTGATTCTGTGCTGGGTTTATGAACTACAGGCTCCTCCTCTCCTTTTTTTCCTTTTGGCCATGGAGGACTGCCCATGCAAAGCAACATATACTCCTCTAGGCAGTCAGAGCAATCTCTGAAGTCAGGAGTCCTGGGTCCATTCTAGTCTATACAACTGACCTGCAGTACGATACCAGAGGCTTGCGGTTGCCCCATCACTTACAGCCGCAACCTAGGCTGAGGAGGGGGGAAAGTCAGTGATGGAAGATAGGCTCCCATGCAGAACTTGGGATGGCTGTCAGGGAGCACATGCTGAACTCTATAACACCAAAGCAGGAAAGAAAATGGTCTTTCTTCACTGATATGCCGGTGCACCTCTCTCTGTTTTGCGGAGATCAGCATCAAGGATGTCAGTACGCAGGCACCATGATCACAGTATCAGCCATGATCACAGTATCAGAAAGTCAACGTTTAATGATGTCAGATTAAATAGCTCTGTGAAGAGTAGAACTAGTAAAGCCTGATTTTCAGTGAATTTGTCTCTTCCAGTTTTTTGTCTCCAATTGATTTAGATGAAAGCTGCAATGTGAACTTATCCATTATTAAATACATGGTAAATTCTTTAACTGAAGAGTAGATTCTCCGGGGTCTTCAGGTACAAATTCTCATCTAAACGTCTGCCTAAATTTAGGGCATATACAATGTCTCAACTCCGTGTGGATTTTCTGATGTTTATTACTGGCTGAAGTCCTGCTGCAAACATTTCCTCACTGCAGGCACTAATGAAGTCTCTCCTCTCTAGTTTATTTCCCTTATAGGATATCTTTATTACATGCTGTCTGTCAAATTTACTTGAAATTGACAACCAACATACATGGATATATAGGCACAATAAATTTGTAGAGGTCTCCTTAAGAGAGCAAAAATCTCTAAGTGCAGCAAGAGCTATCCTGATATCCGTGAAGGCGAGGCAACAAATCCCTGGGGCTGAGGCTCCACACCTCACCGTTACCCTATTTTAGAATACATAAACTATAGGTAGGATGTTGTCTGGTCTTTTTGCGGCTTGATTTGAAGGCAATTTTAGGCATCTAAAATACATCTTTGTAATCACCAGTGCAGAATATTCAAAATATTCACTATCTGTGTAGATTGTACCACATATTTACATGTCTAACCATAGATCTTGGTGCACAACTTTAAACAGAGGGGCTTGAAAATTCAGTGGAAATAACTCTGGGATCGGATACCTTATCTATACTCAAAAGTGATCTATTCATAACTTCCTTAATTAATAGATGACTGAAATCTCTGTCTGCTTTAGGGCTTTTAGAGCTCTGTATTGGCAGTGCCACAATTCTTATCTGCAACCTTGCCTTTATGTTCCTCACATCACCCCTGGTTATATTCCCAGGGTTTAAACATGACAACTAGGCTGCTTTTAAGCTAAAGAGTATATTAAGTTAAGCTATCACCAAAATTATGGCAATTAAGCTGATAAAGAACTATCTTTGTCAAGTAAAACAGACTAACTGTGTTAAAAGCACATCTTTTTCTAGACCCCTAGAAGACAGGATTCCTTTAGGAAACAATAATATGCTGACTCCATTCACATAACAGATGCCTCTTCCAGGGGAAAGACACTGTGCATCTACAAGGTTTTTTATAATTTCTTATTTTGTAAAGAAAATGAACATATTTAAACACTTCAGTGGAACACCAGGCAGGGATAGCTGGCTTTCCAATGACATATCCAACTGCACGAGCATGGTGGCGCTCCCGCTCCAGCGGTCACCCTTAAGCTTAAGTTGTTAGGATGCTGCCAGTATGCAGGCTACCCTGGCAGCCCCTGCAGGACTGCGCTCTGTATCTAGCTGTGCTCCCGTGCTCCTGGTCCAGAGCTTGGAGGAAACCCAGCTAGAGGCTTCAGTGCTGCACTGGGACAGCAGGGAACTCGCCCCGGTGGTCCCTGTGCACCTCTTCTCAGCCACCCGCCACTGTGAAGCCACGGGCCAAGGCCCCAGCCCGAAGCCTTGGCCCCAGCCTGCTGTCAGCCCACACCACCCCATTGCCCAGGCAGCACCCGCAGCTCCCATGAGACACAGACATATCAGCGCCCTCAGTACGGGGCAGGATCCCACCAAGGGAAGATTTAAACAGAATAGTTAAATACCTAGTATTCAGTTCTACCTAGTATTCTGTTCGATCAATTTTAACTGAGTTGATAACATGAGCAGAAATTGAATCACGTCTAATCAGTCTTATTTGACTTTCTGACCTCAATATTGATCAAAACATTGCAGATTGGCATATATTTTTACTAAACTAAGCCAAATTCCAACTAAGTAATTTCTATTTCAAAACAGTAGCAAATAAATTTGTACGGAAAGAAATTGGCTGATAATGTTACTCTAGATCTCTATAGTCCTCTTAGAAGACTCTATCCAAGGCTATAATAGTAATATTTTCAGATGCTTGATTTTCCAAATATACAGAGGAAAGACACGTACTAAGTTAAATAAAGACTTCTGTTTGCATACATGCACTTTTCAGTGTCAAATGACATAAGCAAACAGAACTTGGTGTGCTGCTTTTGGTCAACTCAGTGAAGTACCTAATTTTTGAAACTTAAGACACCTCTGCAATGCCTTTTGTCACTCAATGTCAAAAGGAGAATAAACAAGGATGGACCCTAAAAATAATCTAGGAGAGAATATCAGCAGTGTTGCTGATAAAAATGTTTTGTTCAGGAAAAAATTATTTAGTGGTAACCAAGACTTACAATCATGATTGCTTGGGATTTCTGAAAGTCAGCTCTTACAATTTGCAGTCACCATGTTTTTCCCTCACCAGGGCAAACACAAGGCACTGAGTAGGATTTACCACACTGCTGGGTTCCCTAACCTCCTTAAGATTTGCAGCCTTGATGTAAAGCTCACTGAAGTCAACAGAAGAAGTCTGACCAATTTTAATAGACTTTGCATCAGAACTAAACAAGATCAAACGTGAATCCTGTACTGTCTCTTTGCTATAAAGAGAATTTAATTGACAGTAGAAGAATTCCTTTATATCAGCAAGACAGGAAACGTCATTTTCTTGTGAAAAAGTCAGAATGTCTTTTATTCTATGTAAAAAACACTTCCTGTATTCACCAACCGGAACAAGGTTATGTAATATCTGCTACACTATACAACAAGGCAGTTTAATAACTAGCTATTTTCTATAGGAGAGGTCTCCTGTGGCTATCAGATTTTTGGAAAGCCATGTAAAAGAAGAGCAGGTGGAGGGTGGGATTGAGAACAGGATCTGGAAAATTGACTTTTTTACCTTCCTATTTAGTGCTTATAGTGTGACGCGCAGATTGCAACATATATACATCAAAAATTAGCTACCGCTTTGTCCCAAATAGAGACAGAGCTAATTTTCCTATTTTTATGCATAAAATGCAAAATAAACTGAGGATTATGAGAACATCTATTTATCAATAGTTTAGTCTCTTCCAAACTCTAGAAAATGACTTTAAACTAGCGGTAGCTATTTGTGCAGTTTCAGATCAATACCTTGCCTTATATTCCTCAGGCGTTTTTTAACCTCAGGTTGGCATCTTAACAGGGAATGAAGTAGTGCATCAGTCTTGTGTTGATACAAAGTAAAATTTCATTCACTTTTTACAGGGATATAAATCCCTGTAAACCAGCAGAGCTGCTGGTCCGTTTTCAAAACTATCTGTCTTTGCCTACAAAATATTAAAGTACTTTTTGTCAAAGGTGGAAATATATCTAAACTGTTTGGTTTAGAAAGATTCTGACGAATAGGAGGGACTATGATGGAGCATTTGATATGATAAATCGTACCAACACAGTAAATGAAACAGTTTCCAATTTCAAGGAAAACAAAAGCCAGGTGATGTGGTAAAAGAAAAAAAAATTCCAAGTAAATAAACTTAGATCTCTGATCTCATTTGAATATTTCCTTATAACATAGTTAATGTTTTATGTTTTTAATTATATATACATACATATATGAACCATGACTTCACGTTATTCATTAATCCAAGTTCCTTACTCTCATAGTAAGTGGCAACAAACCAAACTGACTAGGAAATTGTCAAGAAATTGGGTATACTATGTTAAAACACAGCACCTTCAGCAACCTGTTATG